TAACTAATACAACGTGCAGATGACAGAAAAACATCAAAGCTTTTATGTTTCAGTCAATAAGTATTGAATAAATGGTACATGACATTTATAATAAAACGAGAGATTAAGAAGCTTGCTGCTCTTGGAAAGATTTAGAGAGAATTTTACTAAATTCTGTACAAATATTGAACTATTTTAAATTAAAAAGCTACTGAAAAAGGTAGAAGGAATTCATGTGGTTTCCTAACAGGAGAAATCTCTGTTCAACACATTGTCCTTTGCTTGGTATTGTAGCAACCATTTTCAACAAGAATTATTTTGTGACACAGTAAAACTGTCTCTTCTGTTTGCTTTCATAGAATCATAGAATGGTTTGACATAGAAGGGATATTTAAAGGCCATCTAGTCCAACACCCACTGGAATGAGCTGGGACATCTTCAACTAGATCAGGTTTCTCTAAGCCCAGTCCAACCTGACCTTGAAAGATTTCAGGTATGGGGCACCCACCACCTCTATGGGCAACCTGTGCAAGTGCCTCACCACACTTTTAAGACTGTTCCTCAAAAAGTCACTGCTTCCACATGACTCAGAGTTACATGCTACAGCTGCATTTTAACAAAGGATCTAACAATTACTTTGGTAATGATATATTAATGCATTTCAGAAAATCAGCTAAGAGTTCTGAAATTATTTTTTTTTCCCCACCCTCAGCAGCATTATGTACCATGAGTGCACGATGTGGTCATGATTCCTCTTCTCTGAAGCACCCTTTTCTCTGAAGCATCATGTAAAAACTATAGTAGAATATCGTGCATTTACTGTCACATTTATGCACACAGTTCTGCAAGTGACTTTCCTGAGGGACAAAGCAAACTGTTAGAGAGGCAAAGCAGCACAGCACTGGTGTCTATCCCCAACCCTGTTTCCCTTCTCTGTTGTTCTGTTGCTCTATTGTTTATCTGATGCAGCCTTGATAAGAGCAGTGACTTTAGCAGGTATGTCTGCATTATCTGACACATTTCCTCTGCTTCCAGCACCTGAGGTTGTTGAGTCACATGTAAGGGTTTCCTGTGGAACACTGGCCTACAGCATGGGGAAATAGCTCTCTTTATCACACAGCAGTACGTTTGCTGCATGCCATGTGTGATTCAACACCTGTGTATTTTCCCTGTCAAGTGTGGAGTTCCCCCAGTATTCTCCAACTCATTGACATTGTATTGTTGGAATAAATCCAGTTTCCTGTGCTTTAAAGTTTTCCTAGGTGGTGGGTAGGATTCATGGGTGGCAAGTTTTCCCACACTTAGTTATTTACATGCCCACTGCTCATTGCTGTTTTCCTGTTCAGAGTGGGCAGTCACTCTTCTTGTCATTCTCTGCAGAGCACTGAAGCCAGAAATTCTTCCCTTAGTCCCACACCCATCCTCAGAAATGACTGATATGGGTTCAGCAGCACAGTTCTCCAACAGGAGCTGGGAGAGCTTCATGCAATAGGAATACAAAGCTCATTCACTAAGTTATTTCCCAAAAATAATAAACCATTCTCCTATTGACCATGCTTGCTTGCTAAGGGAGGAAAAATGCCCTGAAATCAAACTGCTACTGTTCAATGTTGTACCAAGAAAAATATGCCTCAGCAGGTTGCCAGGATTTGTTGAAACTAGACATTGTTATAAAAGGCTACATAATTTTTCTTTTTTTTTTTTTGTTTGTTTGTTGTACAGAATGTTGATATTTAGGGAAGGCAGTAATTTATATTTCCTTGTTTCAGCTGACTTTTTCTCTCCAGATGAGGTTTTCTCCTAATTAACTGTAATTCCCGAGTAAAATGTTTATACCTTCCTTATATTTATTTTCTGTTCAACACTGAATGATAAATTTGAGATGCTGCACCAGGGAAAATATGTAAGTACTTTTCTAAATAAAGTTCTGTTTAATGCAAGTGTGCAAAATGTTTTTGATCCTCTAAAATGTGGTCTTTAGCACTGAATACAGATTTTGGGTGTAGTCATGGCTAAAGCAGAAGTCTGGTGGAAACTGAGGGCAAAGTTTCCAAGATTAAAAATTAATCAATTCACAGTTTAAGGCAGTTGAGTTAAACACACAAACAATGTGTTTATGGGGAAGGAAAGATTATAATTGTGGCATTTAACTAGGATAGTGATGTGAGATGACAACAACAATCAGTGTTTGCAAGTAATAAAATTTGTTTTTTCAATATACATATTTAAATGAACTAAGTTGTGTCTCAAATACTCTGGTAGCTACTGGGGATTCCCTGGTAATAGCTGAAGTCTCTATGAAAAAGAGCCTTGGCCATTTGTGATTCCTTCCAATTCACATCCTGGTTTTACCAAGAAACTCATCTGTGCAGGCCAGAGAGGAGCTGTTGTATGGTTTAGCTGTGTTCCCATATGAATGGAGGGAGCTTTGGAAATTAAAGTACATCTCAGCTTCCAGCTTTCTAACCACAAAATGTAGCTACAGTTCAAGTATGCATATTGAAAAATAAGGTTTTACACTGAAGAAAAAGCAGGAAAATGCCTTTGGTAGCTGAGATCCCATGATGAGGTAAAGTTCCCCAGTAGGCAAAAATATTGTCTCTCTTGCACAGAGCCAGGAGTATAAGACAACTTAGATCTTGGATGATAGGAAAGTTTTTGTATAGAAAGGAACATTTCTTCCACGAGTAGCAGTAAAGGGAATACTATATACAGCCCTTGTATGCACCTCTGTTAAATTAAATTAAACTATTTCAAAGAATGTACGAAGAATCATAGAAGCCATTTGAGATATTGGAAATCACTGAGATTTATGAAAAGGAACAAGGAAGATGTAAGTCCAAGGTATTTGAGATGAGTGAGTCATTCTGTACATGTGTTGATACACAGAAACCGCCCTAATTCCCAGGGAAGTAATAATGAACATCTTCATTGGTCAGAAAGAAAAACAAAGGTGTGATATTGTTGTTACATTAGAAGGTTTGGATTGTTTGCTATAGTTGTTTTTAGCAGGTAATAAATGCAAGGCTAAACTGTGATACTAGACCATGGTAAGAGCTGTCAAAGTGAACTTAGCTGAAATAAGACAAAAAAACATATTTTGATGCATTAATTGTTCTGTAGCAGAAATAATGATAAACTAAAAATAAAAACAAAATAATATCAGTGGTAAAAGGCATACTTAAGGGTACATCATTTTAAAACCCTGAAAATGTTGGATGTTGTACCACTCTGGGGGATACATTAGCTAAAGCTGTTGGTGAGATCTGACAATCAATAGCTTTCGGAGGCTTGAACTATTGAACTCATCAAGAAAACAGCACATCAGTATTTTTACTTATATCATTGTACTTGATATACTCCTTTCACTTGATGGATGAATAAACTGAAACTAGTAACCATGCAAAATAAAGTAAGAGAGTTAATTGCTGAAACTAATAATAACACAGTAAATTCTCCAGCTTTTCAGATCAGGACCCTTTCTAGAAGACACATGCATAAAATGGATGCTATTTTGCTCTGTGTATGGATAAACAATTGTAATGTCACAGTTTTGTGCTATATACTCAATAAGACTCAATATTCAGGACATAATATTACTCTAGCATAGGATATGGAGGTTTCTAGTACTACTTTATTGCTTTAATAAAAGCAGCCTGGTTCATATTATTGCAAAGGAAAAAGACTGAACAAAAAAGCCTTAAGAGATGAACAATGTTGAGAAAGAGCCCTAATGAATCAAGATATTGCTTAAAATAACTTTATATTAAGTGAAATAACGTATTAAGAGAAATGTAAATATACATGAATATATGAAGATAATAATAGTACTACACTTTAACCTTTGCTTTTGTAAAATAACAATATATAAGCAGTTTAACATTTTTCACAGTAAATAGTCAAGTCTTCATTTTATATTAATGAGTAAAGGTAAAGCTAAATAATTTAAAACAAGACCTTAAATAAAAAGCTACTTCCATAGAACAGATAAACTTGTCCAAGTTACATCCAAGCAGAACTACTGCCTTAAGTGTAAGAGTAGGGAAAGTACTGTAAATTCTTCAAGTGCCAAGCAATAAAAAAAATAAAGGAAAATAGCTGCTGTTCACTACTATTTTAACAAGAATTTTTAATATGTTGTCATTTACATTGAGTCATCTTAGATGATAAATCACTTAGATGGTAGATGGCTGATACTAGTTAAAACCCTCTAGACAATAAATTCCTCTATCATCAATCATCTGTAACACATTCCTGTTTCTTGAGGGTGAGTTATTCCATTTTAAAAGCTGTCCAGAGATGGTACCTACTCACTCCTCTTTGCTAACATCTATTAGACCAGTTGAAGTCAGACTATTTGAAGTCCAGTTCTGAATGTACTTGTTTCAAAGTCTTTTACAGCTGGACAGCCTTTGGCCCCTTTGTCCCCCATGCCAGAACATCCTGGCAGACTGTAACATTTTCTAGATGAGTTTCCCACAGAGCAAAATCCAGGCCATCAAAGCTTTCAGAGTTCCTTAGAAAATTGCAATAAAAAGGGATGTGGATAAAAGAGAAAAAAACTTTGGTCTCTCAAGAGCGCAAATATATACCAATATTAGTTTTTCTGCAGGAAAAGCAGCATATATCCCAGCCTTCAGAGACCAAATGAAATACACAGGAACTCCCAAAATCTTGTTTGGTTGACTTTCAAATAACTTTATAGATAAAACTGACACATATTTTGAAAACACCTGGAAGTGTCAGTAACTTTCTTCCTATTTCTGGATAGGAAATATTTCTATTAGAAATATTGCTATATAGAAATATTGCTATTTCTGAATAGCAATGTTCTTCCTGAACAGCTCAATTATTATTGTGGTTATTAGTTTAGGCCACGAAATGAAAGAGAGAAAAACTTTAAAAAGAAGGAAATCACTAAGGCTTGACTCAGTTATCAGGCTATTAAAGATTTGTAGCATTTCCAGAAAAAACTCCCCTGCCTGTAAAAGATTATGTGCATTCTAGCTTTGTTAAGTTTGTTACATGTTTTGTAACTCTGCTACTCCAAGACACTTTCTTAGTTCTGCGGCCTTCCTCTCCAACTGCTGAATGTTCCAGTGCCATTGTCTTTTATTTGAATGGACTTTGTTCAGTTGGCAATGCAAACGTTTTAAAATAGCATCATATCTTTTATTCTGTACCTAAAAAAAAAATAAATAAAAAAATCACTTCAAAATTTCATTCAAGTAAAACTATTTACAGAGGTGATTTCAGCTCACCTAATTCTGTCCAAGTATGTATTCTGACACTTGACCAAGTCATTCCATGTTTATTTTTAGCTACCAAGGAGACAGAAGCACCTAGGAAGCCATTCATCTAACTTATTTCAGATGTTCTGGTTTAGGACATGAATCATGCCTCACTTTCCCAATAAGGAAAGACAAGGTATGTCCTACTAAGACCTTAAGTGTGGAATTTTGTGTGGATATCTGCTCTGTTATGTCTAAAATTTAACAAAGTAAATACCACCCAAGGACTCAGCATGTCACAGCTCTGGCACGGCTTTGCACGTGGAAGATTTGAGGCTCTAGAATGAGAGGGGAGAAAGAAATTTTCATTCCTTGACAAGCATGTTTGGGTACCAATGGGAATACAAATGAGGTAACCTTCATGGCTATAGTAGCACCTTTATAGCTGCACTGCACTTAAAATGGCACATTCTTCTTAGACAGGCAATACTGTGGTAATGCAGGACTGTCAATTCTGCCCTTATTGCTGCCATATGTGGAGAAGAATGGCTGCTGCAGATAATCCTCTGAAAATTTGCATTCTGAAGTGTTAAAAGAATGAAACACTTACTACAATAAAAATGGAAATAATGGGCATTCCCTTAATGAAATTTGGGCTTACTTACCCTAGTTTAAATGGCATATGAGTGGTAGTGTATAATTACTCTTGTGTCTGCTTATTGAAGCATTATTACACTGTATTTCACATGCACATGATGATGTACAGCTGCATCAGAATCACAGCACTGTCAGTGATTCCTGCAAATCTCGCTGCCTAAATTTCACAAATAACTAGGAAACTGCCTCACTGGTGCTCTATAAATTAACTGCCTTCTTTTATTGGCGATGGCTTGTCTTCCTTCATGTTACCCCACTCTCCACTATAATTGCAACTTTTTGAGAGATGCTGTCAGATTCACTCATCTGAATGAGTGCTTGGGGCATCTGCATCACTAGGACTACATTGTATGACACTGAAACATCTATGATCAATATTATCTGCTTTTTTTAGAAATGCGTCTCTAGCATCATTATTGGGAACAGTCTGTCCCATCTGCTGAGGGAGGGAGCACTAATATGCTTACTGGAGACAGGGAAGGGACAACATTGTGTTTTTTATTGGATCTTGGGTACATGAAAGTCAAACACTAGAAAAAAATTGTCAGGGCACTCAGGGTATCTCCACCACCAGGGTCATTTAAGGACAAGATAAGCAAGCATCTGCCAAGAGTAATACAGTCACACACTGACACTGGGGAAAGAGAGCAGGAGGGGAACAGACAGTCTTTTGGGTTGGGTTTTTATAATTGCTTTTACATTACAAATTTTCTATTATTTGTGGATATCTTAAATTATCCTTATAACTGAAGCCTTGACCCTACACAGATAACCACCCTGATTTTTTGCTGACAACCCTGTCCAAGGCTGGGAACAGGATCTGCTTTTCAAGAAATGGGTGATGGAGCTGGTGCTCAGGAAAGAGAGTAAGACAGTAAGTAATGAGGCTGCTTTAAGAGTCACAGAATTTCAGAATATGCTGAGCTGGAAGGGACCTATCAGGACCATCAAGTTCAACTCCCAGCCCTGGACAGGACATCCCCAAGTGTCACACCATGTCTCTGAGAGCATTGTCCAAATGCTCCCTGCACTCTGTCAGGCTTGGTGCTGTGACCACTTCCGTGAGGAGCCTGTTCCAGTGCCCAAGCACCGTCTGGATGGAGAACTGTTTCCTAATGTCCAACCTAAACCCCACCTGACACAACTTCAGGCCATTCCCTCGGTCCTGTCACTCGTCAGTGCCTGCCCCTTCTCTTCCCCTCATAAGGAATTTGAAACTGCAATGAGGTCGTTACTCATTCTCCTCCAGGCTGAACAGACCAAGTGACCTCAGATGCTTCTCATACAGCTTTCCCCCACGAGGCCCATCTTAGCTGCCCTCCTTTGGATGCTCCAAACAATTACATCAGGTGCCAGCAGTCCCTAGCTGCAGCTCAGTAAAACCTCAGCCATGTGCCTAGTATCTCATTTTATTCCTGTGCTTGAGTATTCTTCCCCAAATTGTGCTGAGGACTACTGGGTATAAATATTTCTGTCTATCCACTGTCAGTTCTTATATTAAAAACTGGACTGTTTTCAGGAGAGTTCTTAATAGAAAATAATACCTTGAAAGGCTTTGGGTTTGAACCTGCTACCTTCTGAGACAAAATGAACATATAACCCAAAAAACTGAAGAACAAAAGTGAAGGTTAACTATTTAATTAAATTGATTTCAATAGCAGAACAGAACATTATTTTTAGGCTACCTGATTTAGCTTTTGGTTTAGAGAATTTTCTTAGGAGGATGTTGCCTTGGTAATAAAATATTTTCTCCAATGCTGATAAGCAGACCTATTCTAAAGCAGCTGTATTTTACATTTCAGGTTAAAAATTCTCTCTACTCTCTGTCACATGAAAAAAATTATTCTTTCTTCCTCCTACATTTTACAATTGGCAATAGACCTAACCTTAGATCAGTTAATCTTTATATTATTAAGCTTTGCTCATTAAATTTTGTGGTATTTATTTGAACTGACAAGATAAATGGTATGAAACTTCCAAATTAAAAATTATCTAATCATACAGTATTGGTATTTTAGTAAGGAACAAAACAAAAAATATAGTTAAATTATTTAAAAGAGAAGGTTTTAACTATTGATCAGAATTTTATCTTGTCAGCTAATTAGGAGCTGCTGTGTTATTCCTAATTTAATGTCAATTCAAATTAGGGAGACACATGGGAAGTCCATTTTCCTGGTGCATTTGATTCTTCCATTGATGAGTTATCAAGTCATGAATAATCAAGTCAGCAGTGAAATGTAAAGTATTTCAGAAGTATTACAGAAATTTTAAAATGTGCATTTGCTTTACACCATTCAGTGACCTCTTCTTTTTCCAGGAATCAGTCCAGAAGTTCACAGATGAACTCCTTCTCAAAAGACTTCAGAAAAGAAATGTTCTTCACAATTAAGCTCTGAATTTTAGAAAGACTATCAGTACCCAGAATTTACAACGGCATCATTACTGCATATACTTGAATAATGTATAGCCAGCAAGGGTGTATAAGGTACTTCAAACTTCATTTGCATTATCTACATTCTGTCAGGAGAACTGCAATTAAATTTTATTCCAATGACTCACCTCAATTTCTTTTCTAAGCTTAGCATGCTTTTTATTCTCTTCTTCCAGCAGATCTCTTTTTTTGTTGATGAAATCTTTCAATGTTGTGATTTCGCTTTTTAACAGTGTGATTTCTTCCTGCAGATGTAAGTCAAGATACAGAAATCCACTCCTTGAAAGATTGTACAGTTCATCCAATACACTTATTAAAATGGTCTCATTTTAACAGTCTCAGTTAATAGAGATGAGATAAAGGTCTATAATAAACAGCTTCACAATAAACCTATTAACACTAATTAAGATGATAATTTAGGATGGGTAATTAAAAAATAACTATTAAATATTTTATCACATTGTTTTACACATGTAAGAATATATACTCTTGATCTGAAATATGAATACTACAACACAGGACTTTGAGCTCATTTTGGTGGTCTTTATTTAAAATGTAATTAACTGCAAAATGGAAAAATATTTTACATAATATTTGAGATATATTTTTCTTTCTCAAAGGAAAATACAATGTTAATTAATCCTTCAGTATTGAAAGATCTGTTGTACAAACAAATTTTCATCAATTTACATTAATAGAGTACCATCAAATTTTCAATAATGCAAGTTACATCAAAGTTGAAATCTGTGATCCCATTTCAACTTCATACTTGTATTTGTCCATATATTGGCAAAATTACATGGTGAAAAATTTCTGTGTAGTTGTTACTAATAAAAATTGCAATAGGGTCAAGTAAATCCAACAGTGTTGGATTGTTATGTTAGATCCAAACATATTTTTCCTCTCTTCTTATTTCTATCACCATCTCATCAAATCTACCTCCTGTTGGCAAACAGCCAAAATTTATTTTGTTGACAGCAGTTTAAAGAATATTGTGTTCTCGCCTGAAAAATGTAACAATATGACAGTCTTCCACAGAATTCTGAAAAGCGTCCATATAAGTTTATCCAAAGATAAAGCTTAATTTACAGCTCTGTAATATTTTCATATTTGAGTTCATTCAATCACACAGTACAAACCTTTTTTTTTACAATATTACACAGATAACAATACTGATAATTTTCACTGCATACTGAAGTAAAAATTTCTCCAATTAATGCAGCATTTTGAATTACCTATATTCTCTTGCAGTCAATCATTCATGAACCATAAACTTATTAGACAAAACAATCATATTATATGAACTATGTCAAAATTATTTCACATAAAAGGAAAGAATCAAAAAGGAAATATAGTACCTGCACTTGTTTCATAACAGATCCTTCTGGACTCTGGAGATCACATATTAACTCCTCTTTTTTTGCCTTTAATTCTTCCACAACTGCTTTCTTTTTAGCAAGTTCAATCATAACTGGCAATTTACTTTCCATCTCCCAAAACAGATGTTTATGATCCTTTATTTTTTCCCGATATTCATTATTTCTTGTAAGTATCATCTCAAACTCCTCTTGTACTGTTTCTGCATCACACCTCAATTTTAAATTTTCAGAATACAGGGCTCTGACTTGGGCCTCCAGATTTTCACACTGATATTTTGTCACTTCTATGGCATCATTTTGCAGATGTATTTCCCTTTCTGTTGTCTTTGTTTCCAACAGAATAGAATTAATTTCTTTTTCTAGTTCCTGATACTTTGCCTGTAAAATATTTCAGTGTTCATTTAAGAGGTTTGTTTTTTGGAAGAAGATATGAAATGTCTAGTTAAACGTTGAAATTTATATTTATTCAACAGTCTTTTATTTCACTTGTCTAATGTGGTTTGAATGGAAGATAATTAGACGTACATTTCTTAATATCATCATCTTAGAGGCACAATGTAAGAATACCATCTTAGTCTTCTCCCCTTAGATTGAGTCTAAAATATTAAATAAGATACCTTTGAACTCACTTTTAAGTTCCTCACAGTTGCAAGATATACAGGACATGGAAGATCAAACCTAATTCTAATGTTTGCTTAGAGCTGGTTAAGTCCTAATCAGACTAAAAATAACTAAGGATGCCAAAAATCCCTTGCAAACCCACACAAACACACAGAGAGGTGTGTCAGGTGATGGAGCTTAACTAGACTGTTCAACTGAAGTTTCTAATCCTGACTTCATCACACTAGTAGCTGAGAGTTGAATTAATCACAGCTACTTTCAACCCTGTAAGAAATATGTATCTAGCTCTAAAAAGGCCTCTACATTATCTCACTGACGAGAAGCGAACAAAACCAGGAAGAAGTTTCAACTTCAAACTATCATAAGAAACCACAGAATCATCAAGGTTGGAAAAGACTTGTAATTACCTAGGGCTTTAAAGTTCTGTAGGTCTTTTTTAAAACTGATACATTTTTAAATTGTTTGATCGCAAATTATTGTTGGAGCATTATCAGCATTATGGGGTACAGGACAAAAGAATCTTTTGTAAAAAGAGTCTTTGTAGACTGTGGCCAGTCCAGTGATATTCCTAAAAACCACAAAATATCACTGCTACTTCAGAAATATTATCTTTGTGCAAAATTTCAAATATCAATTATTTCAGTTGTAGAGCTATGCACAGATGTTATAATTGGAACTCTACTATTTCCATTTGCATTCTTCCATGCTCAAAAATGTCATCTGGAATAATCTTTTCTCAGACTTAAAAGTAAATTTCTCAATAGAAATTTGATCTTGAAGGTTAAATAATAATCGAAAGCTTAATTAAAACAGAAAAGAAATTATCACAGGGTCTTCACAAAAACTACGCATATCCAGTGTTCTACAATATAGTACTAAATAATACCAGTATTTAATAACTATTTAGGATACCCACTTCAAACACAAGGGGGAAAAAAACATTTAGTAAAAAAAAAAAAACCTGGGGAAAAAGATATATATACTGTGGTGAAAATCTAAAAGAAAAAAAAGTTTTAACATACTTACCCCACTTCCCCCCCTATTTTCTTAGGAAATTATGATTAAAAAGAAATTCAAAAGGTTCTAACTTTGCATTTAGTTGCTGTGGATTTGCTTTGTGGGCTCAGCTCTGTATTTTTAGGTATTTTTTCCAAGTAACAAACCAACATTTCACCTGCTGTAATGAAGACTTAGCTGTGTTGTGGCCTTACAAACAACAATACACATCCAGAGTTTTGTCTGAGCCTAAATGCCACACACATGAACAGAATAGCTGCCTTACGCTTAAATGCACTCGCCCTATAAGTACCATCAGCTTCTCTTGTTCAAGGAAATACTTCATCTAATGAAAAATAATTTATTAAACTACTCTAAACAAGGTTCATTACCTGCAACTGGAAAAGCACTGTTTTGCTTTTTTCTATATCTGACACCTGTGACTGCTGCTGCTTTGCAACTCGTTTCACAACCTCAGCTAGTGACAGGGAATTTTGTTTGGCCATTTCAGGCAGAAAGCGAAGAACTGGCGGGAAAAAAAAGAGATTGTTTTATCTCCGTTCCATTTAGTTCTTGTAGACAAAACAATATTGAGGGCTGCCCCATGAGATTGCAGACGGATATATTAATTTCATCTGGTTCATATTTAATTAGCAAGAACAGGTTACTCAAAGCTAATCACTGAGAATTAGAACACTTTCTTGCAGAATCTCATTAACTACTGCGGCTGTTCTCCCGGCTTCCCTGCAGAACAGATCCTCAGTTTGCGAGCACAGCCGTAACTTTTAGAAGTACCCTTAGAGTGTCTGAAATGCCAGAGGCCGTGCTCTCGCCTTCACCCGAATGCTCGCCTTGCCGCGGCTGCCACACGGCCCTGCAGCGCCCTCAGGGCCGCGCCGGCCCGGGGCCTGCGGCAGCCCAGGGCCACGGGGAGCCGGGAGAGGGCCCGATCCCGCCGGGAGAGGGCGGGAAGGCGGCGGGCGGGATCCCTTAGGAAACGTGTGGCTGTTTCACCACCCGTGGCGGTGGTGCCTCCTGGCTCGCCCGTGCTTGAGGCCAGCCTGCTCCGCGCCCTGTGCTCCCAGGTTCCTCGAGTTATCCCATTCAGTGTATTGGACTGCACTTGCTGCCATCATCTGCTGTGCACAGAACATCAAGTTTTCCCGAGCACCACTGCGTTACAAAGGAGAAGAGACGTGGCCCAGTTTCTTTTGGCCTATGCCGTGCCCTGCTCTGTAGCCATGGACTTGCCTCTGGCCAGCTTTTACCCCTCCACGGAATTCTTGGGAATTTGAACCCTAACTCGCAGTATTTTCATAATTCAGTTTTTAAATTTACCTATTATGTTATTTTTCGTATTTTTCATATTTTTATAACATATTTAACTTAAAAATATAAATATTATATGTTATGTTAAGCAACTTAATTTTATATATATTATATAATTATTATATATAATGTATATATAATATATAGCATATAATATATAATACATATTATATATATTATATATAACAATAAGAAACTTACATAAATAAATATAAAATATATATATAACTTTGTAACAACTATTTTATAAACTAATTGCTCATCTCTGCATATGACCTATTTATTTCATCCCTTTTCTGAAGTGGCATAAGCTGAATATAATATTTCATTCCGGAGATGTCAGTTTGTCATTTTTCAATATTGTTTTGCACCCTGAATATTTTCTGACCTTTTCTTTCTCAGCATTCTGCACCAAAAATAACACCAGTAATTAGTTCTACTTCCTTAGTCTGGCTGAAGGAAAGAAAATGATTGCATTGGTTTTTCTCCTGTTAATTTTTAATGACCTAACTCGGTTACATTTGGCAGTGGGGTGGAAAGCCTCAGAGATGACCGATTTCTGCAAGCTTCTGGAAAAGAGATGTCTGGGTAAGGAAGGGCAAGGTCACCTCATCAATTCCCTTCTGGAGGGAGAACCAGGATTCAGCTCTCATCCCCCTGTCCAGCACATGCTGATGGGAATGGCAGGAGGAGAAATGGCAGAGTACTCACCGTGTGTGTTTTGGACCTGGCAGAAATGTAGGTTTACTGTGGTTGCGGGGAAAGGAGGAACAGGAGACAGCAATTTATGGGAAATCAGACTTTATTAATTCCTCTGTCCATTAAAAATTACTGTCCTTTTTTTCTTACCCCTTTCTTCTATTGTCATATACTTAACAGTCATGACTATGATTTTAACACAGCTGAGGAAACGTATTAATTATCATTTGGTTCTTGCACAAAGCCTGATATAAATCCCTCATTTCCTTGCTTACCTTTTAACCTTTGTGTCATCCTGTCAACGATTACGACCTTTCCACTAAGCTGTGTGAAATTCCCGACTGCTGCAAGGAGAAATTGCCATCCTCATTTGAGACCTGTGGCCCCAAAAGCTGACATTGTGCAACCTCTCTGTCTAGGTCCAGAATATATTTTTTTATGACTGGCTGCCAAATTCTTCAGTGGAACATGCAGCTACAGCTCAGAAAAAGGAAACTCCTTCATTCTGCACAAGTTTTCCTTTAACTTCTTTGTGGGGTTGTCCTGCTTGGCTGTGCCGTGCGTCTGGGAGTTGGTTTGCGGTTGTGCAAAGCTGGTGCAGCGGAAGGTGTGATCACAGCAGGGTTAACGCAGCTTCCGCGTCCAGCCCTCCCCAGGCACTTATTAATCATGTTGGTGCCTTGCGGTACAGTTTGTTCTTTCCGGTGTAACCAGCAGCAAAGCAGGGTCCCGTCAAAAAAGAAGAAATACAGGTTCCTACTGCAGCCTTACACAGCGTAGGAATTTCCAGCTTGTACAAATCAGCTCCCAGATTGAAAGAAGTGAGATATATAAAGCTGGAAATGTCTGCGTATTTTATCTCAGATGGTACCTTTCAGAATTTAATAGGATTGTCCACCTGTGTAAGTAAACTCCTGTGTTTATGAAAACTGTGTGCGCTTCAGTATTTTCATTGTATGGGATGATTTCTGTTTCTTCAACCTTGCCTAAAAAGAGGAAGAATGTTTTATTTTAATCCAGTTTAGGAGGCTTAAATGTATTACTTTTTCCTCATGGTTTTTGTATTTTCTTTTTTTTTGTTTGCTCTTTTGAAATATTACACATGTGCTGTTATCTCTGTTCATTTGGGCCGCTTCAATGACCTGTTTTCTTTCGCAGGGCATCTCTCTCTGGCAGATGTTAAATATCTCCTGCCATTTTAATTTTCAAAAAATTATGTCTGTTCTCTCAGTTTCTCTACTAAAATAAGATGACCAGCAGGATTCAAAGATGCAGGAAATTGTCAGCAATCTTGTCTTGGCCAACAGTGAACTTTTAGAATTAGATCTCTGGGGTTCTTGAAAATTGCTTTTTTGCATCTCTTTTCTACCCTGGGCTGTCTCTTCTCTGCAGCCTGGTTTTATTTCCTTCCTTGTTCTTTTTCTGTGTTCACTGTGCTTTTCTACTTTTTGCTCTTGTTACCTTCCTCACTTCTTATATCGTTATTGATCGTTTTCTTTGATCTACTTTTCTTGATATCTGTGCAAAAAAGTCTCTTACCCTCCAAATGTTTGTACTGTCAGTTTCAGGGAGTGAGAAAATAGCTAACTTGGTGGCCTTGGCTTCAAGTTTGTGCAAGTATTTGTCTTGAACTGTGTACCAAAATGATCAACTCCTTAATAAATGTACTTACTTCTTTGGATGTGGCTTCATTGGGACACTGGGACTGTAGAGCATGTTAATTGAAACCCAAATAAGTAGGAATACATCTCCCATAAACTAAAAAGTTGCTGTGCTTGGCAAGCATGTGTTTTGAGAAGGGTTTTTTTTTGGAGTGGCTTAGAAAGGAATCAGTTTTGCTATGGTTGTAAGCAAACTTATTCTGACACCACTGTCCTCACTAGGACTCTGTGATGCAAAGCTGGAAGGATACGAGGGTGAATCAGCCCCATTGTTCGTACGTGCACATCCCAGTAATTGCCCCTGTGGATTTTTTGCAGTGCATACACAACTTTATAACAATGTAGGCAATTACCTCTCCCTCATCAAACACTTTCCTTCCACCCTTCCCTTGGTGGCATTTTTCTGGGTGAGTGCAATGATAGCAATGAACTCTATTTACCTTCCACTACTGACATATCTGAAGTGGAGCAATAATCTGTTTTTGCACTACACCCCTCTGTTGTACTGTCTTTCCTGGGACTATTTGCTGTATCTTAATTGGGATCGTGTCACTCAGACAGGCCTCCCACAGAGAGTGTCAGGGTAGGGAAGGAAACACTACGATTTCCTAAGTCGTGGTTTTTGGCATGAGTCTTTTTCAGCACTGTTTTCTTAGCAAGCTCTTTCCTCTAAAATCCATTATCAGCTGTGCGTAAATAATACTCTGAGCAAAATCAAAAGTCATAAATTCCTTGGCAGTTGTTTTTATCTGCTATCACATTTTGATATTTTCAGCTCACCTGTTTTGATAGTCACTAATTAAACTTTGTAAGTGTTCAATTCGCAGAAAGGAAAACATCATTTTCAGTCAGGATTATTTTTCTTCCAGTCTGGGGGAAAGAACAATGAAGAAAATACAGAATGTTTTCTGTAAAACCTTCTCTAAATAATCTGTCCTTTAAAACCACAAAGGTCTTTGACCTCTCATTTCAGTGGAGAAACTCTGGAAATCCACTGACTGCCATAAAATGCCAAGGAGTATATCACACCTACCATAATGATAGGCCTCAAGTACACACAGGAGAAGTATTTCTGCAGGATAATGAAGTGATGTAAAGCCAGAACATTCATGTGGTTACAGGAGAATGAGATCTGGGGGCAGGAAAATTGTGCCAGACGTTATTTGGTGTGGTTAGCTCTGGCAGCAGAGCATTGATTTCAAAGACTTATAAGATTCTCAGGTTCTCTGTTCTTGCAAAGATATGAATTTTCCTACAAGTGAATTAATATTTATGCACAATCTGTTGCTTAAAAAAAAAAAAAAAAAAAAAAGGTGGTGTTTAAGAATACTCTGAATTATTATGGGATCTTACAACTGTTGGTAAAGGTGCATATATTTCTCCTAGATCAAGCACAGTTGAAATCTAAGTAGGTGTCTTTGAGGTTCCCAAAGCAGAGGGATCTAGCCTTTTGTTCCAGACCTGTGGATGCCTGCATTGGAAACAGAAGGATTATCAGAGAGAGAGAGAGAAAAGAAAGTGAGACGCTTCTGAGGGGATATGTAAAATAGGCCCTTATAGCAACAGAGAGAGGAAAAGATGGATTGACAAGTTTCCACAGGTAGGCCTAGGCAGGCTTGGATCAACAAAGTTCAGAAAAGTGAAAAAACTAACCACCAAAACTGGAATTACAACATGGGCCACAAGACAAAATGTGAATGATAGGATGATACTGCATAAGCTTAAGACATCTTGATTTCAGAGCAGAGTGCAGCTAGCAGAGTGAAAAAGCTGAGTCAGGAAGTTGTGCACAGTATTCTATTGCTTTAATTTAGTTCCAAGTACTTCTTTCATTACTAGGTAAAGTTTCAGTAACCACTACTGATTTCTTGTGCATGCTGAAAAGAAGAACTATTGTCATGTGCCCCTTCACACAGAAGTCAGAAATTAGCAAGTCAATGCTTTTGGAAATGCAAAAGGGAGAAATACAAAAGGTCTTGTGAAGGCCTGGGGGAAAAAATGTTATTGCCCTCACAGCTCAGTACCCTACTACCAGGAGGGGTAGCAGAGGTGAGCTCCACCTCAGCCATAAGTATGTTAAACACCTCCAAAGAAAATGTTACAGAAACTCCTCTAGTCTCAGGAAGCTAAGGGACCTCTGTATTTGTTTGCGTCATGGAAGCTGGAGGACAGCCCTTTAATCATGTCAAGAAGATCCATTAAGCTAATGAGGGTTAATTGATTCAATATATCTAATTTTATGTACCAACCTTTCATCATCCCTGACCTGGGAAAGACCTGAGGTAGGTGGGGTGGTAGGGAAATACCTAAACACTTAAATGAACAATCATTAATAATTAATTAATAATTATAACAAATATAATTTGTTATATTTATAATTAAATAAATACATTTCTGATGGTTTTCTTTTGTTGGAATTTCTTTTGATGCAGCTGGGAAAGCCTAAGTCAGTAATTAACTGCTATGTACCTTCTCTATACAGTATCCCTGAATTAAATGCCTTAACATGATTCTGTGTTCAGACTAACATTGCCGTTCTTGATTTTTGTTTGTTTTTCATGTTTTGTTACTACTTGACAGCTGAAGAAACCTTTAAATATCCTGGAATATGGTGGAAGCAGTACTGATAGATATGTTCAGCCTCCCAGCCAACTTGCAGAACAACATCCAAAGATTACTACACAACACTCTGGAAGCTATTGAGAAATGTTCTGCCATCCATGCCCCATGTGTTTATGTCATGTGTTGCCAGAGGCAGGGGAGTGAAAGGAAAGGTGAGCAAGAGTTCTTGCTTTCAGCTCTCAGAAGTTTTCAGAGTCTGAAGAGGAGACTGGAGGTGGTATGTGCTCAGACTACAGCTGCTGCTTTGTACACCGTCAAACAGAGACTGGATGAAAATGACCTGAGCATCATTAAAGTTATTCTCCCTACCTTAAGAAAAGACTTAATGAAAGTATATATAGACCATCTCTTTACAGCAGTCTACCAGTTTGAATTTGAGGATTTAGAGGTGGTATCTGACTGTGAAAACCTGCAGCTATCTGAACATCAGCATGAAGGGCAAACACTTCTTTCACAGAACGTGGCACTCATCCACAGTGAGATTCAGATGTACTTGGAAAGCCTGCCAAGTCTGAAAGGGGAGCTCACCATCCTCAGATCTTCCCTGATCCCAGGTAAAGAGAGTTCCAGGTAATAGTTCTTAACAGAGTTTTTAACAGACTTACCAAGCATACTTCTTCAAGGGAGTTGCAAAATGGGTAAGATTTGGAAATGCCTTCAGGGATCAAATAACTCTATATGATGTTGTAATAGTGTATAATGTGTATAAGAGGAAAAAGTGTCAATAGAAATACAGCAAAAGGCTGACAAGACTCTTCAGGCCTAAGCATGATCCGAGGAAAGACAGTCCTGGGTTTAGTGAGGGCAGACCATAAAATCTTCTCCTGTCTGTGTAGGAATTACACATTTCGAGAGTTACCATCATAATTTGGAAAGGCAGGATAAGAGTTTCTGCTGGTCTGCAGCCACAGACATGCCTGATGTCTCAGTGTCCCTACTGTGGCATGATTATGAGCAAGGAGGAAATTAGGAATCCTTATATTTAAATGCCACAGATAAATCCAAGGTAAAGCAGTTCTCTACTTGACTGGCTGATTCCATACCTCTTCAGTATAAACCCATGTAACAGCTGGTTTGATCTTGTTTTGAAAGCAGTTGTTTGTTGTGTCTTCTTGCCTTGCCAGATGATATTTTTTTACATGGGTTCACCACAAGGACAGGAGGGATCTCCTATATACCAACTCTAAGCTCCTGCAATCTCTTCAGCAGCTCCAAGCGGAGGGATCCACAAGTTGTTGTTAAAGAAAATCTCCGCCGGCTAGCTAATGTTGCTGGATTTAACCCAGAGGCTTTTCACAGAGTCAAGGTATCATACAAAACAATGGATTCAAGTAAATGGCTCAGATATTCCTTCATGTATCACTGGCTAAATTGTAGGCATTCTTCTTATCTTTGTCAACAAGAACTTGTGATAAGCAGGACAATTAAAACATTTATGCTGGCATCTTATCGGGGAGAATAGCCATCCAAACTATCAGCCATTTGGCACAATATGGAGAAGCAGCACTGATTCTTCCAAGTCTGTTCTAATATTTAACTTACCACAAAGTAGGATAATCAGATAAATGATCAGAGCATTTTCTCCTAAAGGAAAAATACACCATCGCTTCTTTAGTGGCTTTCTACTGATACATCTGCATGGCATCTGAACAAGTGAGCACCTGATTTCCATGCGTAGTCAGTGCAGAAGAGTATTTCATGTCAAAGAAAAACCTGGTACTAGTCAGAGCTCAGTTGTTTTGCAGCCATGTCACTGTCCACATTCTGGTTTTGTTTTGACAGGTTGATCACGCTAATGCTGTGTGTATTATGGGAAAGACAGAGCCTGACAACTATGATGGAATAGTTACGAATCAGAAGGGTGTCACACTGGCAGCTCCAGGTGCTGACTGCATACCCGTGCTGTTTGCTGATCCTGTCAGAAAAGCCTGTGGTGCTGCTCATTCTGGTAGGAATTGCAAATTGCACTCCCTTGTGCAATGCACAGGTTTCCTGGGACTCAAACTGAGATACGAGAACCCAAAGCTGGGCTTTCTTCTATCTGTTCCAAACAACGATAATATCTATAGCTTGAGCCTGGGTTTTTTTTTTTCCCTAAAAACAGCATTAAAACACTTGGACCATATTATAAAAATATATTTCTGATTTATTTATATTGTATTCCCACTTAAATGTTTCAAGCACAGAGGAGCTGTGAGTTGTGCTATAATTGCCCAAACCAGGACACTTAGGGAAAAAGAACTCTGTAATTCTCTGTAGTTTTCATCTCCACAAAATTATATTAGAAAACTGATTGCTGTTAATCTGTATGTTTGGGATGGGGGGGGGGTGGGGGGGAGAGGGCAGGTTCTAAGCTAATTTATTATTAGATATAATTATTTAATTTTAGATGTAAATGCATCTCCTAATTTATACCTTTAATAATTGCATATATTTTTAGGTGCTAGAAAATTAAAAAGAAAATGTATATCAATTTTTTTCAACCTCTCATTTCTCACAGGATGGAAAGGCACATTGTTAGGAGTGTCTATGGCCACAGTGAATGCTATGGTATCTGAATATGGCTGTAACGTGAAAGATATCCTTGTGGTGCTGGGCCCATCTGTGGGACCTTGCTGCTATAAACTTCCTCATGAATCAGCAAAAGAATTTCATAGAATTGATCCAAAGTGTGTGAGACTATTTGACTCTGCAAGTCCTTATATTGATATCAGAAGAGCAACAAGGTAGGCCTCCTGAGGGAGAAAAAGACTAATTCCACATTCATTACCAATAATTATTTTGATACTGTATTATTCAGCCCTAATATGGTGAGGATTCTCAACAAAGTACTCTCTAGTTCTTTGCAGATCAAGAAAGGATACTTTTGAATGAATGGTATTTGCTCACTTTTGCTGGATTTCAGATATTATTTTATTGTTATACTGTTATATATTGTTAGTTTATGAATTACAGACAAAAGTTCAAATTTAATGTGATTTTACGGGTTGCAGGAGAATAATTTTTTTTGTCTAATACTGAAAGAAAGAAACAAAAAAAGCAAATGAAAGCCCCAGTCACAATATTGGCACAGTTTGGTTTGTTCAGTTGGTACTTGAGGTTTTGCCTTAACGATAGTGCCTTATGGAATGTATGTACAGAAAATAATATTTTCTGTTTCTCTTTTTTTTTTCAGGATTCTTCTTGAGAGAGGTGGGATTCTTCCTGAGAACATCCAAGATGACTCTATCACAGACCAGAACCAAAACATCACTTTCTGTACTGCATGCCACCCTGATAAATTTTACTCTCACTTTCGTGATGGCAATAACTTTGGGACACAGATTGGCTTCATATCAATCAAAGACTGAGAAAGTGTCTCTTTCTCTAGAACAGCATTTAGATAGTAAGTCTGCTGCATTGTCTGGCATCCTGCTCTCCGCATAGAAGTTTTTCCTCCTTTCACAGATTTGCAGTAGGGAATCCATGGGTCTTGAGATTCTCCTGCTTATTTCTTTCCTTGACCTTCTGAAACAAGAATAAGTACCTGTGGTGTGGGGACAGCAATTCTTGTGTGAAGCAGGGTGCAAAGGAAACAAGGACAACCCACACTAGTGGCAAAATCCTTCTATAAGACCCAGATACAAGCTCGAAGTTTATGGATTCTCCTTGACCAAAAATTTTCCAGAATCCTCACCATCTTAAGGTGGTGGAAGCCCAAAAAACGCCAGTCTTCATTAGTTTCTGGTTGAGACTACTGAATGTCACTTTGTATGACATTGCTAATACAGGAAGGGAAGCCAGTATTGCACGTTACCTGTTTGAGACACCCAACTTTGATAGTTTCAGCTGAAGCCTTACAAAATTTTGTGCATGGGATTAATTTTCTTCTTTGGATTAGTTTAAAGAACTCCAAAACATTTAAAGGACTTGTCCTATGGAAAATAACTTGGAAGTGAGAAGCAAGCAGGCTCCTTTGGGGCAGACATTGAAAATATATGAACTCTCACCATTCTGTAATTTTTGGTTATAGGAAAAGTAGGACTAAAACCCTTAATTTATGATGTGTATGTCCAAGTCTCCTTAGGATTTTTTTTTCTTTAAACAGTGGTGCTTCGATAATGTCATTGATAGTCTCAACAATGCCAAGTTTCTCACTAAATATCTAAAAAGTTCCGTTAATTTATCCCAAGTTAATTTTACTGACCAATAGCTGGATTTATGTGTCTTACTGAGCAAAGTGCTTACTTTGCACTGTGTGCACTGTCTGCTTTTAACCATAAAAAAAAATGCCTCTAGATTTTACAATAGACGTGATGTTTTCTGACGCGCAGACAGCGAAGGATTGCTAACAGTAAAGCTGTGCTAATTGCGGCTTGAAGAGCTGCCAAGCACAAGGCTTGGGCCAGCGGCTCGCATGACGTACTTTCTATTTTGGATTCTGTGGGCTTTCTCCGGTCTGACCGCTCTGCCCACTAGAGGTCAGTGCTGGCTCGCGCTGCTTTTCCATCCTGCAGGGATGGATGGATGGATGGATGGATGGATGGATGGATGGATGGATGGATGGATGGATGGATGGATGGATGGATGGATGGATAGATGGATGGATGGACGGACGTCCAAACCATGTGGTTTGCAAAGCACCATACAGCACATGCTGTTACTTTTGCTTCTATAATCATCTGCCAAGTTACTCTAATATCTGTGTGCTTCTGGAATAATCTGTTTTCACTTTGATTTGGAGCTGACTGAATTAGATCTTTCCTTGTTTTCTGGAAGAACAGACATTTTCTTAAAAACTTCCTTTTACCTGTGAATGATATTTCTCAGAGAAGTCTCTGAGAAGGCTCTTCTCTGACTTCTTTCAGAAAACACACTTCTCTGAGTATTTTCTCTGACTGTAACCATCTATGAAAAAAATATGCTTCTGCCAACTATCTTACTTCTTCACAAATAATAGTTTTCTGCTGCTGTAGCCCTGCAGTCACTGACAATTTTCAGTTGCATTTTTAAAACCCTTCCATTGCTTTTACCATTCATTCAGCTGGCTTCAAACCAGAGGCTCGGGATCCAACAGGGGCAACACTCACACTACTCTGTTTAGAGTTTCAAAGCACATTGCTGCACACCAGGTGTGCATGGTATGTATTGCATGTATTATTGACTTGTTCTAAATATAGGATAGTTAAATACAGGATAGGATAATTATATGGATACTGACAGCCTTATCTTGCTGCACTAGTTAAAAAAAACAACCCAAGAGCCTACCTTCACCTTTTAGTTCTGTCCCTTTGCTCTGATTTCTGTACCACTTTATGGAAACCAACTGACATAACAGTGAGGTAAGGTACCCTTCTTGAAGCTATAGGGGCAGTAGCACTACACAGCTTCCAGTCCCTGCACCTGAAGCTCAGCCAAAGCGTGTCTGTCAGTGGTGCCCTTCACCAAACCCTCTTCCCTTGTGGATTAAGGGTATGCCATCAAAAACAGCTGAGTTACTTGGTTCTGCAAGGTACTTGACAGCTGAAGCATCATAGGGGCCCATGTGCCTGCTGTTATCCCATTTCACCTCAAAGATGGTTTAAAACTAATTCATTTATCTTTGCAGTAAGTAGAAAGATCTTGCAGTCATGCTCCTTACCACAGTTCAAATGGCCAACAGTATATTAGGTCACATTAATATGCTATTATCACAGTAATATACTGTTACTGATACTAAGCCCTGTCTTGTTCTGATCTGCTCAAGGATTACAATAGAGATTTTATGTTTAGAAAAATACCATTTACAGGTCATGGTAGGGCTATGCAAGCTGGAGAGAACATCAGAATGAGCAGAAACACCAAAGGCTTCACCTTTTGGAAGACAAATCATTACCACAATTGTTCTTTTTTTCCTTTTACATTAATTACCTAGACTGCTAACCTTTCGAGACAGGAAACAGTCTTTTGCACATGGATGACTGAGGTGGAAAAGTCCACAACCAATAAGAAAATACTGTAAAGTTCAGTCTCAAATCAGGCTAGGCCCAGAATCATAGCTTCTTTCAAAAGTCCTTGCTACAAAGGCATGGTAATCCTGGTATTAACAAAAAAAAAGTTTTGAGGAAGGGTATGATAAGAAGGAGACTAGGCTGTTTCACATATCTGTTTATTTACTTTTCATTCTTGTTGCTCACTGAAGGAGGCAAGCACATCACCCATGATTCAGGGCCTCTAGAGAAGCTCTCAAAATGCTTCATAGATTGTTCAAGTGTACCTAACTAATTATCAGGTCCCATTTATTACCCTAATATCCATTGAATTTATAAGCTGCATTTTCCCTATTCTTGTTATTAAATAACATTAATTATGATAATGGTGTGCCCTGAGGAGAGCACACAACATGATCACATTGAATATTGGTTTTGCTAGTTGTTACTGTGCAATTAACATTTGTTACTATTGTAGATTCTCAATATGGGCCTCTTTATTTACACTATATAGTTGAATGAAGTGTACTAAAACATGTCTGAGAAAGACTTTATTCACTATTCCAGTAAAAGAGGGCATTTCTAGCAAGCTGTTCTGCCTGGGGAAGCAGTGTGAAATTTCAGAGGCACAGATCGAAGCCTGAGGTAATTAGTGAAATGTTTATCCAAATCATGCCAATTATTGCTACAGGTATGGCAAAGTGGAAAACTATTAAAGAAATGAGATTAAAAATGTTTTTAATGCATTTGTAGAGGTCAGTTCCATCAGTGACTGCTGGTCTCTGTCTACTGACAACCTGAGGAGACAGGATGGGAGCAAGGCAGTTTTGAATTTGACAGTTGCCTTTGTGATTGGCTACAAATTCAGAAGCCATGGGCCTGGATGTTCAGCAGAGCATTTGGACACATCTTGACTCGCAGAAAGTATGTAATTCCTCCCAAATTACAAGCATTCAGTTACAGGAAAGCATCTCCTTTCCCAGCAGTAACATGGATTTGCAAAGTGCTCGTCTTTGCACACGTTGTTTTCCTCATGCTTATCTCTTGTGCATCACTGTATTTCTGTCCAGCACCACTCACAATTGCCCTGTGAGGTGTGAATGTGGTCACAAGCAGCTGGAAGACACAGGTGCCATTCTGCTCAGAGCAGCACCAGTGCTGCTTTCTTTTGTATACTTGTGCTTTTTTTTCTTTTAGCAGCAGCGTGAGACTTTGTTCTTGGCACAGTGTCTTTATCACTATCCTCCAAACCATTCCTATTTTATAGGTTTCCAAAAGAGCTACCACTTTCCAGCTTACATGGCAAATAAGTCAATATTCCTAGATTCCCTCACTGCTGTCCTCATTTCCACTCCATGTTCAATTTGCTGCTGGGCGATGCAAAGAGGGAGATGAGCTGCGCTCATTTGTCCCGAGGCCCAGAGGGGCTGCGCGTATGCACTTGCCTTGATGTCATTTGTTTGAAGCTTTTGTTCTCCGAGTACCAAAGTCCTTCCTGAACTCAGGCCTCTTGTGCAACAATATTAACAGGACAGTGCAGTGTCATGAGTAGTAAATCCTATATGTGACAGAGGAAATAATGTATTGACCTGCTGAGGGATTTACATACCTCCAAAGACAGCAAGCTCTGCCTGTGAGGCTGGCTTGTTCCACTTTCCATTTCCAGCAGGTACTATCCAGTGCTTAAAGGTGAATGACTTGAATAGATATGTATGTGGATTTAAAAACTGTCCTGGTTGAATATGTTCTTATATCCATGGTGCTATTAATCATTACCCAGTGTAATGCCTTTTTATAAGATACAGAGATTTTGCTGTTGTGCTTACTTTAAATATACAGTGCCTGTGGCTGTGCTGCTAAAAAGCATGATTATGTATTTCCCAAAGGCATGCAGAGAAATAGGAAGCTAGCTTTTTTAAGTGATGCCTCTGATCTTTCATTAGTAAGCGTTTAATTTACAGTAGCATCTCGCATTACAAATACTTGTCTGTCTGTCTTTGTCTGCAAGTTCTCAGGGCTGAGAGGAGATCCACAGAAGAATTTTGGGGGCATGATCTCCAAAGGACAGCAGGACTGAGTTCTCTCTCTTATCCTTTTACGAATGCAGCATCATGTCTCCAGGGCAACCTGAATTCTGACAGTCATGGGAGCAAGGACATGGCATGGATATTCTATTTGATTCCTGCAGCTGAAAAGAGATCTGAGACAAAAATCAATATGTCACTAAAATAAGAGAGTTCTTTTTACAGTTAATTTTATATAAAGGTTCATTTTCTCTATTCTTGTGCAAATGTAATTCAGAACTGCTAAATACTGTGTTTGTTTTGTTGATCTTTCCCCTTCTACATGTAGCAAAGGCCCAAACAAACTGAAATAAATAGGTTGCAACATAAAAATGAGGAGTGAGCCTACCATAAAACTGAGCATGCATTTTGTAAGGGAGCCTGAAAACAGTGTTCATATTTCAAAATGTATAATTTTTGCAATATTTTTAAGCAGTGAATCATAATTCTGGTCAATTGAAAGTGATTTTTCCAACAGCTGTCTGAAATAAATACCTTATCATTTCTCTTTGAGGCACTGAGCTCTATCCTAAAGCAATATTGAAGCATATGTTGCAGCTAAAGGAAAGCATTTCTGTTCTGCTTTGGTTATCTTTCTTAGAAATAGGTGAACATGATTTTCCTACACAAGAATGAATCACAAAAAAACTCAGCTGTGAAAACAAAATTGTGACAGGTAACTCAAACACTTTCAGTCAGTTTTAATATGTGCTTTTAGTAAGTGCTTCATAAAACTATCATTAAAGAAAACTGGGTCATGCAGATGATTTTATTTTGACTCTGTGCTTTCTTCTTTATATCATCCCCATAAAAAGCTGCAGGACATAAAAGGTGAGTCAATCAAAAAACTCCTTAGAGAGGCTCCTTTAGGTTTGTGGATGTTTATTGCTGCATTTGATACTTGGATCTTACTCAGTTCCCTCAGTTATGCTGCAACTTGGATCCATGGGTTCCCTCAGCACTGACACATTCTGGCTCACGTAACTCCATGCTAGCCATGGCAGAAACAGAGATTCAGAGTCGATACTGATGTTTATGTTGTAGCTTTTGTTCAAAATATATGTTGCTGACATAAATGACATTGCAACAAAAATATGGTGTGATGATGGTGAGATATTTTGAGAAAAATCTCCTGAGCAACCCTGCATTCACTTAATGTTTTAGGGGCTAGGTTAGCAGCAATTTTTTGCTTTTAATGAGACTGGGAAAGTTCAAGATAATTCTGCACTCTCCTTATCTAGTAGATGTGTTCATCAGAGTGACATAGTTTGGGTTTTAGAGTCTTGTCCCATGTACAATTATATTTCTCTAATTTCCTTTAATAATGGCTTCTTGAGAAGGGACTGACTGTGTGTATATTGGTTAAGAAGTGCAAACTTCAGCTGACTCCTCTTCATTAGTTTATATTACTATTTAACATAAAAGTCTGTTAGAAAATACAGGCGTGACAAAATGGGAAAGTTGGACTGCTCAAACTAAATGTTCTTTTAGGAGAAAAAGATTTAGACAAAGCTAGTTTCAACATCTTCAGGATGACAGATTTCAATACAACTTTTGAAGCAGCTCTTATTTTCTACTTTGAATATTAGGAGTAATCTGAAATAAAAATTGAAGAAGTGCCATTGCAAGTTAAAACAAATATTAAAATCTCAATTTATGCTGAAAAGAGCCCATCTTCCACAGAGCTCATCTTATTATTTATGTATATTTATCTGCATGAACCAGTCCTCTTATTTCTTCAATAAATATTTCCTTCATAGATTGTAGATTGTTATATTCCCTTCAATAAATGTTTAGCTAAGTTTTACATACAATATTTAGCTCCATTAGTCTTTCCTAAGATGACCCTTCAGCTCTTAGTTCTCCAGATTCTGCCTTATTGATGTCAATTAGGTGTTCATCAGTTTTCACTTACATGCACTTTTAGAAGGAGAGTGACATTTGAACTTTGTACAGAGACTTGTTGTTTTTTTTTTTCTGATAGGCTTTCAAAGTGGTGCTTTTAGATACAAAAAAAAAAAGCTTAATTGAATGACCTTGGTTTCCCTCTCTTCCCTGTTTTCCAAAAGAGTCATAACCTATTGCACTTCAATTTGGATTTATTTTAGGCTTCCCAGCTATAACTCATAATTCATCACATTGTTCCAGAAACAATCTTCATGAAGGAGGCTCAATCCAGAAAGTGAAAAATAGTTGTTATTTTTGAGGCTGACATGGAATTTATGGTAGGAGAGCATTTATAACTTAAGCAAAAACTTTTTAAGTATCTGAGGTTGAAAAGCTGATACTAGGAAACTAAAATAATATGGAAATAACTTCACAGTTTTGCAGGGAGAAAAAATATCCATACGTGCGACACTGAAAATTCATTCCTTGAATTATATTCACATCAGGACTGGATGCCTTTATACATACTCATTTATCCCTAGCAAACTGGGAAGAGGCTAGAAGGAAAGAATGATGTTGTTTTCCCACTCTAATAAATTATAGGAGAAAAGAGGTATACAGCAGCAATCCTTTTAGCAAGTGAGTTAAAGAGTGCACCGGCTAATGATGAACCACTTTCTATGGAGCCAATATCTGAGACTGAAAAAGCAGCCAGTCACTCCCTGGCTCTGCAGCAGCCTCAGTTATACACAAACAGAAGCAGGGAACAAAAATCTCATTTGGGTTGCAGCTAGCCTGAAACAGATATCCATGGTGAGACACTCTTGGATACAAGAAGCAGAAAAAAGACAGCATCATGATGATAAAAACATTTCTACACCTGCCTATTAAAGATTTAGTGCAAGAAGAATTTATCGATGTGGAAACATGGCCCCTACCTTATTGTCTGAGCAGAAAGTGGTTCTGCCAAGCATCTTCCTGTGGGTAGCTATTCACCACAGTTGCTAAAGCTATTGAGGCTTCTTTGTGTGGTAGAATTCTTCCCCAGAACCTGGAAGGGTTGGAGTATTGAATTCTTATAGATTTATTTCAGTTCTCCTCTTTCTTCATCCCTAATTCAAACCCTGCTACAGGCATACCATGCACTCACAAGCTTCCAATCCAAGCAGGCAGGGAGAGGACCACAGTTAATTGTGGGAGGCAGATTAAGATAACTGTCTGTATTATCTGCATGCAGGACTCTGGGACCTTGCTGGGGCCAGAATAATTGCAATGAAGGGCAGATCTGCCCTTGCCCACTGCAGCTGTATTTCTGAACTGAAAATGTGGAAGAGAAGCTGCTTTCTGATATTTCAGTCAGCTTGGCTAACAGCCCAATTTGGCAGACTTGGAAGATTTTCTATCATAATGTTTCTCTGAAGTAAGCTGTAAGAATAAATGCCATAATGTATGTTTGGCTCAAGAGATGAGAGTCTAAATTTTGAAGAATCTTTTCTTGTTTGTTATGGAACAAATCCCAAACTTGTTGCTTAGAAGTCCAGGCACCCTGCTGCTATGAGGCCCCATCTGAACATCTTGAGTAAAGGAGGCAAGTACTCTCTTGTGTGAATACTTGCTAACATTTCTAATCCCAGCTATATTAATTACTGTGGCAGAAGTTATTTCACAATGGACAAGGCAGATCGACCTCCTGATTGGTCCTAGAAAGGCAGAGAGGACAAGGGGGATAAATACTGTGAAACTACTCCTTACTTGCATGGCAGCCACTTAAGACTCTGGGCAAGGCTTCAGGCCTGAGAAAAGGTAGATCATGAAGAGAAATAACCCACTTATCTTGGGTTGTGCTAGAAACATGTGGAATTGGCAAGGTAGATGTTTTGTACCCTATCCACTGTATATTTTGCTTCAGTTTGTGCAGTACAAAGTTACCAAAGTACCATCTTGAGCACTACTGGTTTTGAAGCAATAAACAAATAAGCAAAAAAAAAATTTCTGTGTCTTTTGTCTGTTCTTGATCCTGCCTAGCTCAGCCATATTGGTAGTAGTAGGTTCAAGATTTTGAGTGGTCAGTTTAATATGTATTCCACACTTCTCATAAGAAAACCTTAAGGAGAAACTTGTAATCTGTGAATTTATGGTGGTTTTATTCTCCTTCCTGGGTGATGCCACTGCCAGAGACAGCAATGCCAGTAGCACAGCTCACGAGATGAGCAACTCTATAGACAGTGCACAGAGATCTCAAGGGTCTAGAAATTTAAGATCTACAGACCAAGAGGCATGTAGGATTGTGCCACACTTCCAGGCCCTGAAAGCACCATCCCAAAATTTCAGAGCCATGAGACATATACCAGAGGCTCTCAGATCTGAGGAAGGAGAAGGGGAGATTTCTAGGAGATGCTCAAAGAATGGAAATCCCATGGCTTTTCCTACTATGTGTTTCGGGGGCATCTGCAGCAGGGTTTGCATTTGTCATGGAGCACCCCAAATGCTCATCATCTACAATGAAAAACCAGTGCCTTTTCATGAGTTTTTGGAGATAGAGCTAGTTTTGGCACTGTGCTGTAATAGCTTGTGGCCCTCATGCTCTCAAAAGTCATAACTGTCTACTTTTGGATGCTGTAATGTTCTTCCACAATTTTAGACTGGCTATGGATGCTGTTAGAAGGCCCACTGTGTGAAAGTGAATGCTTTTCTAAGTGGTAGGGATATCAGAATTCTCAAATTTTGAATATGCAGTTTCTACAGACCAACTCAGGAAAATCTGAACGGTTGTGGGAGGCAACGTTTTAATTCTTGCTTATTTTGTAGTGACCTGAGGTAACATTTGAAATTGCTGTAGCATTTTTACTTCTGTTTGCAGATTGCAGATTTCATAGGTGTGTTTTGAATTGGATGATATTTAAAATTTTCAGCTTTGAGGACTGATCATGAGAAAATGTTTTGTGGATGTTATGTTTGTGTTTTTAATTACTGATCAGCTGTGATTAACCTGATTAGTCCTTTGACTGGAGGAGTGTGAATCACCTTCCCTCAGGTATAGCTGCTTGGGAACTGAAAGTGTGTTTTATGGACACAAGTTCAAAGTCCTCATGACAGGCTTCACAAGCGCCAGCAAAAAATGAATAAAACTTGTGAAAACAAGAATGTGAACTGTAAAATCACTACCAAAGAGAGTGTGTTTAAATATTGAAGTGAACAATCCCAGATAGTTTGGAGCGGAAAATTTGCTTTGTTTATAGGGAGCACAACATCTCCAAAAAAATACAGGAGGATGGAGTGTTGTTAGCCAAAAGCCAATCTGCCATGGCCTCTCTCTTGTTTCATTTAATTCATTTAATGATGTGCACTGTAGTCTTCTTTCTCCATTATCTTCTTAGTATTAACTTCTAATTTTTTTTCATCATATTGGATATAAACTGAGATGATACTGTTTTCTGGTGGTGATGATGACAGTGCTGTTCAAGCCTACCACTCTGGGAACTAGACCTGGGTTTTGAAGGACTCTCTGTGAGCTGGACCTGGAAAACATATGCTTTCATCAGTCTGTAGGGGGACATCTTAAAGAGGCCAAACTCTACTCCATACTGATTAACTAAGAAATTACTCCAGAATGAAAACAAGCATGAGTACTTTTGCGAAAGAATATGGTGGTAGGATCAATATATGAAATTCATACATCGAAAATATTTTGACCATGATCACAGAGTTATTGGCAGAAAATGTGAAATGTAGCAATGAACTTGAAGGTCTCCAGTATCTCAGAAGAGATTGTTGTGTGCTTGAGAACATGCAGACAAGTCCAGGAAGAAAGATTCTTGGAATTTAGAGGAAATCCTGACACATACAGATTTCTCTGCCATTTGAATAGAGGTGCCAACTCATTTGAATGCATATGCTTCCATCCATATTTTTATCACTTATTTGCATGCATAGGCACACAATTTCAGCTATGCATCTGTGTTTAAAAATGCACACAAGAGCCATGTATGACTCTGAGCATGTTTTTGTTAATATATATATATATATATCATGCCAGCCAGCCAAATAGCAATAATATTTCTCCTGCTTGCTCATTCTTGGATGGCTCATTTACATGTTTATGCAGCTCCTATTTTCTTTTTAAAATAAAAATCTATGAAGTTATCTGCCTAGGCTTTCACAAGGACACAAATCACTAAGCTTCTGATTTTTTTTATTAATTCTATCCACTTCATTTTTGCAGTTCTAGGCATTCCTGAAAGTGAGGCTATGCCATCATTCGTTTTCAATGAATGGCTCCAGAATAAGCTCATAATTGTGGTCAGCATTTATGTCAACACCATCCATAACTAAACAAAAATTGATGAATACCAGCTTTTTTATATTTAAATTGTAGAGCTGACTTACTGTACTATCATACTAAATTACTTAACAGAAACAGAAATAGATTAAGATGGATTTTGGATTGGTTTGATTTATTTATTAATTTTCTTTAAAAAAACAAGCAGGTCACTGGTAAAAGAAAATAAAAAGAGAAATGTAACTAATCAAAACAGACTGCAGGTTACAATTAAAGTACAGTCACAGGATTCATTGCAGTCACAGTCATGCAGTTGTGACCTATGTGCTCTTTCTATCTGCTTTGTACTCAGCTACACTGTGCTTTATATAGATTGAAAGACCTCCAGGGAAAGAGTTATAGCCTGGATTGTGGAACAGCCTTTGTGCTATGCCTCCAAAGGCAAAATGCATGTTTGTACCAACATCAGATTATGCCAAGAGGTGCAAATCCAGCTCAGCTATCAAAGGAAGGATGAACCCAAAATAGAAAATAAATTAGTAGCCTAGCATAAATCTTCCCACTTCAGCACTAGTGCTGGATATAAATTCTGATGGACAAAAAGGCTTTTCTGGGACATCCCAGCATTTGAGCATGCACTCCTTAATCTGAAACATTTTGGGGCTTACTGCATTTTGAAAGACTACAGAGCTGACTTTTGCTCCAGGGCTGGGAAACCAAGGATGGGATTTGCTCACACCTTTACAACCCTCTTTAATGGAGGATTTTAGAGAAAGTCAGAGTCAGACTAATCCTGAGTGAAAGGATCTCATGCTGCATAGTGATGAAAAAAGGAGCAGTTAGCAGTTATGTCAAGGGAAATTCTGATTGCATGGAAGTTGGGGGTTTTTCCTTCCCAGTGAGGGCATTACTCAGCAAGGCAATGATATCTGCAGCCATGGAAATTTAAAATCTCAGCTAGACAAGGGCTTCAGCTTTTCATGTCTAACTTTGAAGTTAGCCCTGTTCTTAGTAGGGCTTTGGAGCTCCAGACTTCATTAAATCATTCTGTGACTCTTTTACTTCAGACAGATGAAACACTGATATTTACACTTGATTTAGTCAATCAAGATCTCCTTTATAGCCAGGAGAGAAAAACTGGGTGTGGTTCATTTTCATACTGTCCTATCTAGGTCTGATAGGTTGCAACGCTGACTACAGAAGGTAGCTCGGGTTTGTGCACCTCCATGGCATTTAGATAAGACCAACACATTTTACCTTCTGTGGAGATGTTTGGGCAATGGGGATCCAGAACTCACAGGCTGCTTGACCTCAGAGGAACTTGATGGGAAGTGGGAGCCACGAAAGTCTTCAGCAGATGGTTGGTGAAACCCATATTCTCACTTATATATTCCAAATATTTTTATTTCTATATCATGATAGATCCTGAAGGGCTCTGCAATGGTCCTTTTATTGAATGAATTCAACTAAAATAAATGTTTCAATCATTTGTATGCACTGGTGCATCCTTTGGGGAATTTCCAGTTTTATTCCAGGCTTATTCAAACAAAAAAAGTTTTAGAACAGAATTCTCATGAAATTTTACTTTTTTTGGAAACTTGCAGGGCCCAAATAAGGGTTGAATGCTGAAAAAAGATTTTTGAAGCTCTTCTATTCATGTTGAATGAGACTATAACTATGCTAGTCCTGTTGCAGGTCTGCAAGAAAGGGAAACCAAGAATAAGAAATATTTGCATTGCAGTCAATTTGTTTACCTGACTGATAAAGTAACAGCTGGTGTATCAGGGTCACCCTGCATTGTGCGGGTTGAAGAAAACACATTTAGAAATGTATTTAAGTGCAGTGGAAGAAAAGGTAGAGTGTACCTAACAAATCCAATGCTAAACCTGTGACCTACATCTGTGAGCTCTGGAAACTCATCTGGAGGGGCTTTCTTACCAATGTGGTTGTGAAAAGTAAAGCTATTTTCTCAGCCAAGGGACACTTTGCCAAGAGGAGTCAGAGTCCTTTTGCTGCCTTTCCTCCGAACTCCGTTCTGACTCTGACAAATGGGGACTTGGCATTTGCCAAAACAAGGACAGTAACAGGCGTTTTTTGTCAGCACATGGGAGCAAAGCCATTAAGATTCTTTTTTTTCCTAGGAGGTACCAGTATGTCTCCCAAAACTGTACACAGAGTTTTAATTAAGATGTGATGTTTACTACCATCTTTCTGAGACAGAACAGATGTTGCTCTCCAGCAAAAGGCTCTTCCAAGATGACTGGAGAATTCAGTGACATATGGAAATTAATGAGATTTTTGTGGTCAAATTTATCTCAGCATCGCTTTCTACGAGGAGGTCTTGAATCCTGAGTGCAGTCTTTGAGGCTCTTTCATCCCGTAAGTCCAATGTTGTTACTAAAAGCAATAAAGCAATGACAGAACCACTTCTTTCAAGGTGCTTAGAAACATTAGTGACTATTAATAACAACTGGGTAGTGAAAAAGGATCTTTATGCCAATAAGTGAACTCTCTTTCTCCTAGATGAAGAGATACTGACTTGCCCAAAGTGTGGGAACAATCTGGTAGGAGCAGTGGGAATAGTCTTGAGTAGTATTTGAGTGTGGGTGGATGCCAAGCCGTGCACTTCCCACTGGTGGATGGGCTGTG